ACACACACACCATACATACACACACACACCATACATACATACACACACCATACATACATACACACATACATACACACACATACACACACGCACACACCATACATACACACAATCTGTAAGTGCACATATAATAATTAAAGGGCTCTATCCCCTGGCCTGTATCTTTCCATGTACACGTAAGAGCTCACCTCCTGCCATCACCCTATCAAGTGTCACTTGTAATTTCTTCCTGTGCCCTCGTCCCCGCTGCTCAAATTCGGAATTCCACCGCAGGGCTTTCTCAGACCAGTTCCTCTCCCAGCCTCAGTAAAGGTTTTGGCATAGTTTCTCTTCTTTTTCTCCTTTTCAAAAGATGTTTTTATGGACTCTGGAAATTTTACCTCACACCCTCTGATCACCCTCACTTCCCAGTCCTCCCACACCCCCCAATGTGTGACTTCCCCCAAAAAAAGTAAAAGAAAAAATTAGAAAAAAAAAAAAAAAAAGAAAAAGTCCAGGTTGCTTTATCTGTTTTCTCCTGGAGCATAGCTGAACTCTGGTAAGTGCCCTTCCAGGCCCCTGCCAGAGCCAGCCCTCGAGGAGGGCCAAACTCCAGCATCTCCTCCACACCCCAGCATCTCCTCCACACCCCCGCATCTCCTCCACACCCCCGCATCTCCTCCACGCTGCTCTTTGGTGGCTTTCCGTCTGGCCTGTTACTGTTTTGGGGAGGGGTTGTCACAGAGGCCTCGGTGTCCCTCACTCTCATAGTTAGCATGGTTTAGCATAGTTTCTGGGTGTGTCAGTTCTCACAAGCTGCTGCGTGCACCAGTGTGATAAGCCTGGTTCTCATCACAGAGAATGCTGGTTATTCCCCGCCAAGGACTAAGAGCTTCTGCAAAGTCCGATGTTGGATGTGTTCGGCTCATGGGCGGGGTCTCCCCTTGTGTCTCCTTACCCTCCTGGCTGAGCCTCCCAAGGAGCCTCCACAGTTCCTTGGGAGCTGTGGAGGTGTGATGGCTCCTGTGTTTCCTGAAGGCTTGGTCTGGGTTGGTGGGATTGTTGGGAAGGGCCAGGAGGTGTGGCACGGAGGGGCGGGCTCTGGAGTGTCAGAAGCAGCTGGTGCGGAACCATGGTCTTTACAGTTGAAAAACATCCTGTCTGGACTGTTGGAGAGTATAAATGTCATCGCTCCGCTTCAAGACACTCTAGAGAGAATCAAGCAGCTGCTGCAGCTGCTTTTGCTGAATTGCTGGCTTGCTGTTTAATGGATCTCTTCTAGAGGTCCTGAGTTCATTCCCAGTAGCCACATGGTGCTTCAGAACCATCTGTAATGGAAACAGAACATAGTTAATAAATATGCAAGTCAATCTTTATTGATTTATTTATAATATGTTAATTTTTCATTTATTTATTAATCTTTTTAAAAAATCAAAGCCTACACTGGAGAAGGGACCCCAGCCCTTTGGAGGAGGACAGAAGATCATGAGTGGACCCAGACATTGGACATTGTGAGGTTCACACAGTTGGAGTCTGGTTTTTGCTTTGGTTTGATTGTGACTGTGCCCTGGTTCTTCCGTCTTGAAGTAAGAAAGTATTTTACAGGAGCCCACAGTTGAGAGACTTTGAATTTTAAGACTTTGGATTTTAAAAGAGATTGATGGGCTGGAGAGATGGCTCAGAGGTTAAGAGCACTGGCTGCTCTTCCAGAGGTCCTGAGTTCAATTCCAGAACTGACAGCAGACCCAGTTAGAGACAGTAGCAATGAGGGTGTGGATGTGTTTCCATTAGTGAGCAGAGCACACTTCTAAAATTGCTGAGAGAAAACCCAGAACCTGCCCTCTCCTACCTGTGTTTCTCCTCTTCTTCCTCACAACAGCCACCACAGCTCCAATGATGACCACAGCTCCAAGGACAACCAGAACAGCAATGACTGCCATGATGGGGACAGTGGGCTGAGGAGGCTCTGGGAAGAGAAGGGCAGGAAGGGAAGGTGAGTTTCATGACTCCAGCTCTCAGCCCTGACCTGCTCAGGGTCTGCACAAGGCTCCAGCTCTCCTGACCCCAGCTCTGCACCCACAGCCTCCTTACCCCATCTCAGGGTGAGGGGCTCAGGCAGACCCTCATGGTGCACATGGCATGTGTAATGCTGCTCCTTCCCGGGAGGCACCACCACAGCTGCCCACTTCTGGAAGGTTCCATCTCCTGCAGGCCTGGTCTCCACCAGCTCCATGTCCTGGGTCAGGTCCTCCCCATCCAACTGCCAGGTCAGGGAGATGTCAGCAGGGTAGAAGCCCAGGGCCCAGCACCTCAGGGTGATGTCACCTTGAGGTCTGGGGTGGTGGGTCACTCTTGTCTTGGGAGGGTCTGCAGGAGACAGACAGATAGATGCTGGTCAGCACAGCTTCGTGTCTCCAGTGGAAAAGGCAGGGGTGGGAGACCTTCCAAGGACCTTGGGACACATTCAGAGTCCTCAGAGAGAGCTAGGTGACCACAGTCCAGGAGTTCACGTCTGCTGGTGGGAAGCCACCCCAGCGCACGGGACCGCCCAGATAGCCTTGCTCCTGTGCTAGAGTGGCCAAGGGAGCTCCGCCAGCTACAGGGCGAGCTCGCTCGCCTGGCTACGAGGAGGAGGGCTGGGCTTGGCGTGGAGGTCATTACCAGTCCGGAGAATGGTCTTTCTTCCCAGGGTCAGGTATCTCTGCAGCCACATGATGCATTCCTTCTCCAAGTAGCTCTTCTCTCTCTCCAGCCAGTACTCGCTGTTTTCCCACTTCCGCTTGGTGTAGCCAGCAATGAACGTGGCTGCCGAGTACTGCATAGAGTCCAAATCCAAGGTCAGGTAGTCCCTGCCGTCGTAGCCGTACTGCCAGTGCCCCGTGGCGCTTGTGCCGTCCCGCATCTCACAGCCGTACGTGAACTGGAGGGTGTGAGGACCTAGAGGCCCCGGGACAGGCGTGTCAGTGGCCACAGATGCACTGCAGACCTCCCCTGCAGCCCCCGCCGCCCTGCCCGGCACACCCGAGGCTGTCCTGGCAGGGTAGGTGTTCACACTCCGGCCTGGCTTTCTGATAGCTGTGAGGGGCAAGGCCTGAGGCGCTTCAGGTCACAGTGAAAGCCTTGGCGGCAGCTGAGCTCAGCCGCCCTGTGCCGTGATGTCATGGGGCTGCTCGTCCTCTTTAGCTCTGACCCCTTGTGCACACAGAAGCCCAGGGCGAGACCCCATGCTGCTGTGCGGGCGATCGCAGGGGCTGAGAGTTCTCTCCCAGTGCAGGAGCACAGCACAGGAGCGTGGCGGTGAGGGGTGGGCACAGCGTGCTCAGTAAGAACGAAGCCCCGGGCAGGTGCAGGCAGGAGGCCATCCTCAGCCACACAGGGAGGTAGAGGACGCCCCAGGCGCCAGGCGCCAAAGCAAGCACAAAAGAAAACAAGCAAACCCAGACCGAGCCAGACCACCCACTGCCCACCTAGACGGCAAGCTTCATGCTGAGGAATTCTCTAATGGACAAAGTCAAGTGCGGCTGAGGTGGCCTGCTTGGGTCCATCAGGCCCCTGTCCCACAGTTTTCGGGCCCAAGCTCCTCAGCCTGAACTTACTACCTCAAATGTGCCTGTACGTGTGTCTTGTTCCACACAGTGAGCTTCTGAAGGTTTGCCCACATGGCCAACTCGTGGAGTCTGGGACAGCCTCCCCCAGCAGCTGTCACGGGCTCCCCCCTGGCTCAAAGGCTCCTCACAGACTTGTCAGTAGTGCTGAGCAGGGGCGAGTCTGTGCTAGGACCCTTTCTTCTAAAATCCACTTTCTGAGCCTTCTCCCGCCCTATCCTGCACGTGCTGCAGCGTGACCGCTGGTTGTGTGAAAAGTCTCTTTTTACTCTCTTTCTGGGACAAGATATTGTGCGTCAGCCCAGACAGTGGAGTTCACTACATGTAGCCCAGGCTGGCCTTGACCTTGAGGCAGTCAGTCTTCCTGCCTCAGCCTCTTAGAGTGGGTGGGTGAGCAGCGTGAGTCCATGCCTGTCCTCTGTGTTCTCCACAGACCCATTCTGTGCCGTCCCTCAGGGTTTAGAGTTTCATCTTATTCTTGAGACGCTCACTGACCGCCGGAGTGTCCTCTGCTTACCTCAGTCAGTGACGGCCAGTGTCGCTGCTTCTCATTGGGGCTTTAAGGAGGGACGGCCTCTGAGGACATGCTGTGGGCACCTGAGGACATGCTGTGGGCACCCGAGGACATGCTGTGTACACACCTGAGGACATGCTGTGTACACACCTGAGGACATGCTGTGGGCACCTGAGGACATGCTGTGGGCACCTGTACTCATATCGGCAGGTTTTGAACAGATGCGTGTCAGACAGACCCTGAGCTCTGGGAGCGGACATGTCTAGCCTGTTCTCCGGGGATAGTCTGTGGGGACACTGGGATGAGGTGAGGCGGGGCGTCCTGGTGCGTACCTGCTTGCTGGCGGGAGCCGCTGGCTCCCCCACTCTGGGCTCCAGAGCTGTTGTAGTAGCCCTGTATGTTCCTCAGGCTCAGCTGGAAAATCCTCTTCCTGTTGTTGAAGGCCTGGGTCTCGTCCTCAAAGTAAGCCGAGTCTTCCATCAGCCAGTCCATAGCAGGCTCTGCCCTCTCCACCCTGCTGTTATAGCGGATGAAGGGCTGGTTATCTATGAAGCCACTGGCAGAAAATGCAGGGACGGGCAGGCCGGGCTCCGACATGGCTGAGTAGGAATAGTGCAGAGAATGGGACCCTGCAGTGGGAATTGGGGTTAGTGTGAGCGAGGACCCAGCTCTGGAGTGGACGGCGCACAATTGAGGACATTTCATGACCCTGTGCACTGGGGTAATTCAGAGAACTGACAGCGACGTGTGAGTGTAAGGGGCTGGAGAGGTGGCTCACTGGTCAAGAGCATCGGTCGCTCCTGTAAAGGACCTGGGTTCAATTCCCAGCTCCACTTGGTGACTAAAGACTGTGTGTAACTCCAGTTCCAGGGACCTGATGCCTCTGGCCTCCAGGGCACTGCTGTGGATTTGAGGTCAGCATCCCACCCCTGTCAGAGCCCACCCCAAGAAAGGGTCTCTGTCTGAAGCCCTGGCTGTCCTGGACTCCCTCTGTAGACCAGGCTGGCCTTGAACTTGTGATCCTTCTGCCTCCACCTTCCAAATGCTGGATTACAGGTGCACGCTGTCACGCCCAACACACAGGAGTGATTTTAAGCTCAGGTTCCAGAGAAAATATGTGTGTTTGTCTTTCTGAGGCCAGCCTCTTAGTGAACTGATTGCAGCTCTGGCAATCTCTCACAATGCCATCGCTTCATTTCCTTAGGACCTGAAATTCCTTTTTAAAAATCTATTTATTTATTAATTAGTTTATTCACTTTGTATCCCAGCTGTAGCCCCTCCCTCATCCCCTCCCAATCTCACCCTCCATCCCTCTTCTCCACCCATGCCTCTGCCCTAGTCCACTGATAGGGGAGGTCCTCCTCCCCTTCCATCTGACCCTAGTCTATCAGGTCTCATCAGCACTGGCTGCATTGTCTTCCTCTGTGGCCTGATAAGGCTGCTCCTCCCTCAGGGGGAGGTGATCAAAGAGCCAGCCCCTGAGTCCATGTGAGAGACAGCCCCTGCCCCCATTATTAGGGAGCCCCGTGAAATTCCTTTATGACTGATTTCATTGTGTTGTGTTAGCTCCCAGTGTATACTTGAGCTGTGTTCTCTACCCAGTCGTCTGTTTATGCACGCCCAGAGCAGGATTTCCTGCTCCTGCTTGTGAGGGTGTGTAGGCTGTCCAAATCCTGAGGTACAGACAATAGTTATTTTCCCGGGGCAGGGGCAGAGTCTTACTCTGCGGCCCAGGGTAGCCTAGGACGCACAGCAGCCCTCCTGCCTCAGTCCTCCAGAGATGGGACTCCAGGATCACTGGTGTGAGATAGCGTGCCCAGCTCCGTCTCCCCTCTTAGAAGGAAGCTGACCGACCGGAGATGAGCAGGTGGAGGTGGTGCACCTGGAGCCACAGCCCAGAGCCCTTTTGTCCAGCTCTTTCTTTTCCTCATGGTGGAGGGGCCGGCCCAGAACCAGGACGGGCACTGTCCCGACTGACTGCAGCCTGAGCCCTGCTTCCTCAGCTTTGTTTCCTGGAACTTGTGGTCTTCACAGCTCCACCTGGAGCCCTTGCTCCTCCCCCTCGGGTGTCTGCATCCTAAGGAGGCCTCACCTCACTGTCCGCCCTTCTGCCTGGGGTGGTTGCATTTCCCGTGCTGTGTGCCTCCAGGGCAAAGGCAACCACAAGTCCCGATACACACGTGCTGTCTGAGAAGGCAGGTCCAGACATACGCACCTAAACATCTGCATACATGTGAGCTGAGGCAGGAGGATCATGACTTTGAGGGCCATGTAGCACAATCCTATCCCAAATAATTGATGATGGTGAAACGATGGTGAGGATGGTGAGGACGGTGAAGACGGTGAAGATGCCGAAGCCAGGGAGGCGACTGCTGGGCCAGTGAAGGCACCTGCTACCACCCACGTGGTGGAAGGAGAGAGTTGACCCGAACAGGTCCTCTGACCACCACATCTGGGCTGTGGCATGTGTTGCATGGTATACATATGAACACGAACACACACACACACACACACACTCACACACACACACACACACACACACACACACACACACGGATAAATGTAAACTATAGTGTGCACAATGTATATATACTTCATAAATTAACGTGCAGTTCAGAAAGGTCGGTTGGCTGCTGTGGAGAGAGCAGCTGTTAGGGCTCCCTGCTCTCCAGAGGACTGCACTGTGGTTCTCAGCACCGCAGGAGGGTCTGTAACCAGCTCCCACGGGTCCCATGCCCTCTTCTGGCCCCTGGTACCTGTGCACCCGTGCGACACTCAAAGCCACCTTAGAGTGTAAGGCAGGGGCTGTGTAATGAGCCTGTAAGACAGCAAAGCTGTCAGGAGCAAAGTTAAGAGACATTTTTGGTGACAGTGACTGGGCAACGCCCCTAAGACATTGAGAGCTTGTAAGACGGCAGAGCTGCCAAGGATAGATAAGAAGATATTCGTAGTAATAGTAACTAAGAACGCTCTTAAGGCAGCTGACATGTGTGTGTGTGAAAGAATGATAAGCCAAGCTATGCCCTGAAAAATGTAGAAAAACTGGAGCCCGAGCCCACGCGGGCACGGCAGGCCAGACTCTTTGGTGAGTAGTCCGAGAGACCGCCACTAACCAGCCGATTCCTGAACGGCTGTTTGGAAAGCCCAGACCACCCTAACAAACCGGTTCTGAAAGGACCACCTTATCAGACCGGCCATGGAAGGCGGCTCCCGAGCAAACGAAGCTTTCTTTGCATCTGAGGCCTGCTGGAGCAGAGAAGCTCCGAGGCCTGTCAAGTCATCAGAAGACTCGTCTGAGGTCCGGCTGGAACTGCGAAGTTCCCTGGCCTAGAAGACACCCAAAGCCGGAGGCAAAAGTGTCAGAGCCCGCACCTGCGGCCAGGTTGGCCAGGTTGTGTTCCCCACAGGATGTATAATGTGCTATTATACGTTCTTAGATGTCTTAGATGTCTATGTAATTAGTGTGATTAAAGCAGCACTCAAAAATCATTCTGGCGTTGGCTTTTCTCAATACCTTGCCACCCTTTGTGGCGTCTGGGTTAAAGGTTAAAGTCCTCCGGCATAATTAAGCGCTCCTGACAGGCTGGTTTGGTGCAGCATGCCTCTAAGCCCCACTCGCTCAGCTTCCATTTTCTGACAGTGCCTCATCAGGACTCTAGGTGTCTGCTACCTTGATCTCCGGTCCTCCTGGTTGGGGTCTTTTCCACCTTGAACCTGCCCAGAGGCGTGGCCCACAGCCCCCCTTCCCCACCCCACTCACGGGCTTCGATGTCAGGGAGGTGGCTCAGGAACCAGACGACAAGAGCCCACATGCTGCCAAGACCAGTCCGAGCCTGCCCTGTCTTGAGAAACTAGATTTCAGAGAAGTCGCAACAGCCTGGAGGAGTGAGGGCAGCAGGAAATGGAACCAGTCAGCGCGGGAAAACCTTCAACCTTTGGGTTATTAACCGAAGTAGGGCGGAGGGGACTGAGGGGCGGATCGAGGAGGCTGTCCTCAGGGGCGGGCCTTTTCCCGGCTCCCCGTGGGGAGGAGGGATGTGCCATGGGCTCTGAGCAGCAGGCTGGTGGCCCGCGTGAGGTCTGAGCCCTCCGTGTGGCGTTGCTGTGGGTCGGGGACCTTCCCAGCTGCTCCAGCTTGTTTATGGAGCTCAGTGGCCTCCTGGCTGTCGCTGTCACTCACTCAGCCTGGGCAGGCTTTCCCCACAGCTGGGACCCGGATCGAGTTTGTATTAAATAAACCCTCATGTGTTTTGCAGTGGACTCGACTTCTGCTGGTCTTTTGGGGTCTCGGGGTCTGGGTATGACAGGTGCAGATGACCTTGCCTCAGAGAGGGTGGTGGGCCTGGCAGGATGGTGTAGCCATTAAGAGGTGCAGAGCACTGGACTTTGGTCCCCACATCCAGCAACCCCTAGGGGCCTCATCTGGATTCCTCAGTCACCCCAGGGACACACAGGGACATATGTGCAAACACATGCAGTGGGGCACAACATTACTCCCGCCCTTGGGTGGCAGAGGCCAGCCTGGTCTACAGAGTGAGTTCCAGGACAGCCAGGGATACACTGAGAAACCCTGTCTTGAAAAACCTACCTACCTACCTAACTAACTGACTAAATATCTTTAAAAGTAATAAAGCTACAAAATGAAGAAAAATTGGTCAAAGGATCTGAACAGACATTCTGTACAAAACAAGCATATGAAGAACAGCAAAGGTTCCCTATCAGGGAAATGCACCCACACCACAGTGTCTCAGCAGCTCACTGATTAGCAACAGCAGTGAAGGAACCCCACCCTCACCCTGGGAGGGTGTAGGAGAGGAATGTAGATTGCTACACTCATCATGGAAGCAGGATGGGAGTTCCCAGACCCCCGTACATCAGCCACAGGGTGTTATCAAAGGGAAGGGGCCGAGGACGTGGCTCCCAGAGTGGCAAGGTGGGCGCACAGCTAGACACATGGGGCCCTCGGGAGCTGGCTAGGTAGCCAGAGCAGCAGAACTGATGAGCTGCAGGATCTTAGCTCACGTCACACCCACACTCTCGAGAGCACGCACGCACACACACGCGCGCACACACACACAGTACCGTCTGCCCTGAGAAAGAATGGACTCTCAGTTTGTGACCACATGGCCAGAGCTGCAGGACTGTTAGTGAAATAATCCAGGCACAGAGAGACAAATGCCACATGTTCTCTTAACTCGGTGCTTGAACGCTTGATCGCACGGTTAGAGGGATGTGAGAGTCTACCCGTCCGCTTTTTGTTCTGATTAAACACTAGACACATGCTTCATCTAAAGAAAACAGGGCTCGTCTGAGCGCAGCTTGGGAGCTCAGGAGCCCAGCGCTGGCACTAGCCCAGAGCTGATGGAGAGCTTGTATGCTGGATTTTGTCCCTTGTCAACAAGCATGTTTTCTTCTGTGCCTGCAGGCCTTTGTGTCGAACACTCAGGCCTGCTGACCTCAACCTCAACTTGATCCCCAGAACGACATGTGGAAGGCAAGAACCAACTCCCTAAAATTGTCCTCTGGTCTCTAGGACATTCTGTGTCGGGCATGTATCCACACAAATGTGCACACAAAGTAAATGCTTAAAAAAGCCAGGTGCGGTGGTGCATGGCTGGGCCCCAGCACGAGCAGGTACAGAACCTGCTGACAAAGGGCCCCGCTTTACCTTCTTCAACCACATGACCTTGGCAGAGGAAGGTCCAGTTCACGTGAGGGACACGCCCGGCGTGTCACTTACATGCGTCCATCCAGATCTAATGAAGAGTCTAGGTGACATCAACAGTGACTCTACCAGGGCAGATGAGGATGAAGAAAGCATCGTGGAAGCCATGAGCGATGACTGTTGGGATGACTGTTGTGAGCCTGACCAGTGGGAGCTGTACGTGATTCTCCATAAAAAGAACACAAGGAAGTCA